AAAAAAAAAAAAAAAAAAAAATTTCCAATCAGTCGGGAAAATATTTTTCCACAAAAGGCGGGAAAATATTTTCATCAAAAACCTGGAAATTGCACACGTGTGGAGAAAATCCGGAAAATATTTTTCGTGGAAAATTTCGCCTATCAAACAGCCAAAAAAGTGAAAAGTGAAATATTTTCCTATTTCCCCGAAAAATGTGGCATATCAAACACGGTCTAAAATAAAGAAAAATAATTTGAACTTTCAACTATGTGACCCAGACTCGAGTAACGTACACGACATTCCCGCTAATGCATAAATAAGTGTGCACATCTCTGTTCCTAAAGTAGTGGAATGGCAATAGACACACACAGTAACTTCTTTACACCGGAAAGGACCAAATAATACTGCAAAATTCAGCCCTGCAACAAAAAAGTCATGGCAAAGAAGAGACGGAGAGTTCCGGAGGTACTATGGCGACTATTCCACAACCGAGCTCGTACACTGGCGGAGACGATCTTGTCATTGATACCACCACCTCCGGCAACGGCAGCAGGGTGCAGGTGTAAGGGGCGGCGGTGCCTCAGTTGCAGCGGCGATGACGCTATGTCCTTTCTCCTCAGATCTAACGACCCTCCTGACTACCGCAAGCTCCTCACTAAAGCTTTCGTCGTTGTTTCAGAAAATGCCCCTCCCATGCCTATCTTAGATCCTCAATGCCGCTGGTCGCAACTCGAGGTTCCCCCTCTCTATGTATATAGTTATAAGAGAGTTTTAAATATGTTATATGTATTTGTGAAAATGTATGTATGTATGCATGAATGTATTTCTGTGTATTTGTGGGTTTGGCGGGTAAACAAGAGAGGTCTTTTGCGTTTTATTCTTTTAGGCCGGAGAATTGCAGGAGTGTTTTAAGCGTTTTATTCACTAGACATTGATCTTTGCGGTCTTATAAGCGTCACTGGCAGATGATCATTGCATTACTGGGTTTGCAGAACATCGGGTTAACACTTAGGTGCAGAGATTAAAAAACGAAATGAATAACTCGTCTGCTGTACTATTGATTAATAGAAAATTAACTTAGGAACTGAAGTGCAAATCATTAATTTCTAGAGCCTTAAAGATTGGGAAGAACTGCAATTGAGCGATAATAGTCTGCAGAGCCTAAAACATTTCAGAACGACAAGTCTGCAATTGAACAATGGTAGCAATTCATAGATCGTTTTTTATGTTGGCTTATATTAGTCGTTTTTGTTTCTAAATTACTATTCCCCTTAGCAGTGATTTTAAGAGGTCAAGAATTCAACCAGATGTTCCATATTCACTTTTGAAAAACTAAATTACATTTTAGCAATATGAGTAAAGTTCTTTTTTATTTTTTTCAATGTTACGTGTTATCTTCTACTGGAATCAGAGTACTCCATGCTGTTTTTGAGAGCTCGAGGGCATTTTAACATATTGCAATTTTCAATATTCCATTTGAGTTATTTTTTATATTATGCACTGTCCCTAAATATGATATGGTACTTTCTGTAATTTCAGATCGTTACAAGAACAATCGAAATGATATCATATGAACAGACCTCTTCCAAGAATATAATCTGCTGTAGTTATGATAAAGTGAGTGTTTTTAACTTTTGTTTACTCCATTTGTCTTCCTTCGTGGTTGTTCTAGTTTTATTGCAAAGGATCTTTTTTATTTAGTTTGAGCTGCATATTACTTTCATAACTTAGTCATTATTATTTCTCTTTCTTGAAGTAAAAATTTGACAGTTTCTGCAATTTTTTTGTCTATAAGATGAATCGATCACTATTGAAGTTTCTCTATGTTGTGTTTTTGTCTGACAGCACAACCGCTCAGGTTCTGTTGTTGATATTTTAACGTCCTCGGCATGGAGTCACCTCCTAACGAGAGTAAGTAAATAGATGTGTTATATGTGCTTGGTTTATAAGTTATTTTTCAAAAAATGTTGTATGTGACTGAGTGCAAATTGCCAATTTTCCAGGTTGGGGATACTCTCATGGTGTATTTACTGAAATATACTTCAGTCTTTTTGCCCCTTCCCAGAAAGAAGCACCATCAGGTAGCAGGTTTCCCTATCAGTGATTTGTGCCTTAAAATCCCAAGGCACATGCCTGACTCTGAAATCCAGCACCATTCTCTTGATCATAATGGTAAATTGAGTTTTTGATTGGTTATTTTAAGAATTTATACTTGGAAAATCTGATTTTCAAACATTCCCATTTAACATCAGGTGTGTGAGTACATAGTAGTGGTGTATATTGAATCAGAGTTTGAAGACTGGTTTATATTCAGTATACAATAATTATATATCTAAGCTAGCACTATAATGCTACGAGATGAAATTGAAATGCGGTCCTGCATTAGTGCCATTTATTCATTTTCTTGGGTAACCTCATATTTCATGAACTTGAAATCTTTATTAGGGAAGTAACTTATTTTTATGGTGTAGAGGAACTCGAGTATGAGCATAACTTTGGTTCTTAGAGAAATTAAATAGATGCTCTGTCTCTTACAAAGATCCACCCTTGTTTCCAACACCACAATCCCCCAATTTAAAATTATATATCTTTTTTTGGAGAAAAATGTATGGTACCTAAACTATTCTAAGAAATTTATAATAAAATTTAAATGCCCTATCAGATGCAGCCCCATTCCTGCAACTAGGAGAATTATATAACATACACGTACATGAAGGAAATGTGAGGTGGGGCTGGGGAGGGAACTGTGTGGTGGAGGTGGTACGATTTTTTTTAATTTTACAGTGATAATTTATGTACTGTACATTTTCTTAATATTCCTGGAAAATACTTTAAAACCCCATAAGAGAATCTGTTGTTTAGTACATAACTCGTGGGTGTCTGTAATTTTTGAATCGAGAAGAGTTGTTTCTAAAATAGTCAGTTTCGTGCGGGTGTCTCTCTAATTCTCTCTCTCTCTCTTTTTTTCATCTAGGTGACTCCAGAGTCTTTATTCATTTAAAAAAAAAAAACTCAATAATATCGAGCAGATGCCCATGGTAAAAAGACTAATAACTTGAGAAAGGATCTGGGACGTGCGGTTGAGTTATTACAGCCTTACAAATTAAATGCATTATGTCAACTTATTGGATTTTTGTCTAGACAGCTTACATGGCTTGGAAATGCTTCCAAATATCAACAGTAGATTCGCTAACATTTTAAAAAGTTATTTTATTTTAAGAAAATCACTCTGAAATCTCAAAAAGTATGGTAAGTAACAGAAGTTGCAAGAATCAGTCTACACATGTATAAAGACTTAATTTACCATGCAGCATGAGAAGTACGGCATTGTAAAACCAGTAAGCCTATAACTGATTTTGTTTTTTTCATTTCTTTATTTAACATGACATAAGTGTTAAACTCTCACATGATATATTTTAGTATTGGTCCCATTCTCTTGATAATTTTCCCTCAACAGCTTGGGCTGATTTCTCTGTGCTCTAGGCTATCATTGTATTACATTTTTAATATATTTTTTCACTTTATGACAATTGCTGAAATAGTTCTGGCAACAATTTTGCATAGTAATGACCCGCTTCAACCTTTTCTTAGTATTAAGGAAGAAGAGGAATAAAGTTGGAGTTGCCTCAATGTCTGAAAAACAGCTAAGCACATGGTCTTTGGACAGCGAGGCTTCTTCAAACTACAATAAGTTCGTTGGGCGTAATGGTAGGGATGACAGAACTCAATATAGTTGATACAATAGACATGCTATGAGAAGACTGTCTAAAGATGCTACAATAAATGCAGGCACTAAGGATGTTAGTAATGAAGTGTTTTCAAATGAAAAAGGCAAGGAAAGCTCAAACCAAAATATTGCATTGCCTGGAAAGCGGAAAAGGCTGTTCCGTTGGCAGCGTCAGAGAAAGCGGAGGCAGTTAACTGGTCAAGGAACGTTTTCTTTGATCTCCTGTACAGAAAGTTTCAATAACAACAATAACTTTTCTAGTGAGTCTAGAGAGAAACCTAGCCTCTGCACAGGTTCAGGTCTTAGCAATGGACAGGTAGTAAATATCTATAACTCCTTTGCGTTCTGTTTAAATTGAACTTTTAGTCCTTTTCCTAGTAACTTTGTTATAACTAGATCTCTTGTTTCCTCTGCTATATGTCAAAGAAGAGACAAATTTATGTCCCAATCACCACTATGTATACATTTCTGAAATCTTATTGCAGTAGGTAGGTTTGCCCTCCGTAGATTTGTAAAACTTACAGACTTCATTAGTTATCCAAAGAAGCCATGTCTTCATGCTGACGTCCCATTTGAATCTGTAGAAACCAGCTGCTAGAAAAGATTTAAGTTCCACCAAATACACTCTTTACTTTATAAAGTTGTGTATCTTACATCATCCTTCAGATTTAATTTGACTTGACTCTTGGCTGCCTATTTTTTGAATTTGTTTAACCGTGTTATTAATTCAATGAGATATTAGAGTTGAAACCGAGGTAACCTCCAATATATCGAGTTGCCTAGTGCTTCTCATTCTTTTTTTCTCTTTTAGTTTCACGGAGTTGAAAAATTTTTAGAAATAACTGATATTTTTAAAAAAGTGTCTCCCCTGCCCTCCCCTACAAAAAAAAAAAAAAAAAAATATGGTACTGAAAATTCAATTCAATGAGCATTTTGTTAGCCCAATAATATTTAATAATTAAGGGAAAAAAAAAAGAAGCAACGAAAAAAATGACATAAAAATTACTACAGATGTCAGGATGATGATTGATGATGACTTGAAGGTTGTAAGAGAGGAAGTATTGCTATCTATAGCACAAGAGATTGCCCAGACTTATATTTATACATTGGAACAATAACAAGAACCTATGTATATGAAATAGCATATAAGACTCAACCTAACTTGCGCTCTTAACTTCTAGAATTAATGAAACACAATCTCTTGATGGTTTTTTGATTAATAGCGTGTATTAAGTTGGTTATGTATTGAACATTTTGAATTAAAAATCTATGCTTGTCTTTTTAAAAAGACTTAACTGTAGAGATAATCTGGCATCCTCATATTGCACCCATAGCATTATCTTCTCTCTTTTTCATTCTGTTTTCTCGTCAAATAATGGGACTTTTGAGTTTTAATATCTGCAGACAGTATCATGCTTCTCTTGTTGTTCTGTCTTTCAAAATCTGCCGAAGATCATAAAGAAAGTTCAGGTCAATAGGAAAAGTCTCTTCTACAGGCTGGAGAGTTCTTCAATGTTCCCAAGGAAACGTATCCTCATTTGTATCTTGTATTGCATTCCTATCCAGCTTAAACATCTTGCTTTCTTTTGAATATTACCATTTTTTTAAACTTTGTATCTGGAAATCAAATAAAAGGAATTAACATTATACTTCCATTTGCGTATTGATTTCACTGTTATTTGCAAATGTATAATTTGTGTAACTTTCAGTTCTCACCAATTCCTTGGAAAGCCATTCTCGTTCTTGTATAATTCATACATCATTCTAATTTTTCTCCCCTCATCCTAGTCCCCACCACCTCATTATAAATACTTGACCTTTACTTTGTGAGCTCATAATAGAAGATTGACCATTGGTTCCTGATGTCATTGTCTTCTTTTAGTCTCTTTTAAAAAGTTCATTTTTCAACCTTAACTCTTTCCAGACATTCTGCATTCTGTGAAGCCCAATGATTCTGGAGCAATTTCTCTCTTCAAGAATATCTTTGGAACATTTGATGTTGATATGAATCCTCAGTCAATGCTAGGTTTTCATGGAAAAAGCTGTTGTCTCAGCAGATCCACATGTTTGTAAGCAACACCAGGCATTTGTAAATTTATAGCCATTATGGATTGATATCTTTCAATTTATGAGGTTCTTATTTTATCTTTTGATACCGCCAGCTATCTTCAACTCAATAATGTTTACATATTTGTTGGCACTTGTTCAACCACTTTATTAGAAAGCTTAAGTTGTTACATAGAGACACATGTATATCATTTGAATATTGTCTTCACTATGCCCTCTCACTTGTAGGAGAGGTTTTTTTTTCTCATCTAAGCCTAAGATGACAATTAGGATTGGGCAAAAAAGCCGCAAAACCGACCAAACCAATCAAACCGAACCGGCTCGGTCGGTTTGACACAGGTAATGGTTTGGTTTGATTTTTTTTTTTTTAAGCAAGACCTTGGTGGGTCGGTTTAGCCATGGTTTGAAGTCTCAAACCGTTGGTTACTTGAATCGACCCATCCCCTTTACCTTTTTTTTTAAGAAAAATATTAATCGAAAGATAAGTCCTAATTTCATAACTATATATCGATTCCCTCCAATCTATAATGTTGCCGGTAAGTAATAGCATTGGAAATTTCCTTTCACGAGCTCATCATGTTATACTGAATCTTTTTTCCTACTTGGCCATCAGGCTACCAATGCATAAAAAAGGGCAAAATTCTTAAGTTTTCGATTGATCTATCTTTATTAACCCGATTTTATTAATTAGTCAGTAGTTCTTGTAATATAAAATTATTTAATTATTTTAGTTCTTGTAATCTAAGTGAGCCCAAAACTTAGACAATTTTTTTTTTAAAATTCAATTTGGACTAAAAGTCCAAACTGACTAACTGAACTGATCTAAACCAAATCAAATCAAACCGATTTGGTTTGGGTTGGTTCGGTTTAAGAGTTAGAGTGGGTTGGTTTGTGTTGAAATTCACCCAAACAAACTAATTTGGTTTTGGTTTCGGGTTGAAGTCGAAACCAACCCAAACCAAACTGTGCCCAGGCCTAATGACAATTCATGAAAATGGGTGCCGATGAGGCTTGAACCCAGGACCTCTTGCCTATTTTGTACATTGTTGAACCACTTGATCCAAAATGTTAAGTTATTAGATATAGCTACATGTATATCATCTAAATAGTTTTCAACAACACTTTTTTATCTATTTGTTTGACTTCATCATATTTGTCAAAATGTCAAGCTGTATAATGTACACAATGTTACTGTTATCATAGTTAAATTATGTTAATTTCTTTTTTACAAAGCTTTTAGAAAATTGGGTATATATGGAGTTGGTGGGAATTCTGCCGCATTATGTGCTAGCGTTTCTATCTAACATGAGCTCAGACCAGTTTGAACTGTGTTTTGCTAAACATTATGAATTTTGATTTCTTAGATTGGCTGATGCAATTCGTATGAATTTGTGGACTTGGACTGGATTAGGCGGATGATGGACACAACACTTTATTGTGATATGTTTGTTGTTCCCAAACATTGTCTTAAAATTTTCTTGCATGCAAGTTGATATGAATGACATGTGCAGAAGAAATCTGTGAGCCTGTGACTGCCCTCACCCCAAAAAAAAAAAAAAAAAAAGTGGAAAAAAAAAAGCAGTGTTGTTATTTCAAATGAAGTGCTCGAGGAAGGCATATAAAGTCACAGATAAGCAAAAGCTTTCTTAGCATAATTTATTCTTCATTAATTTGGCCTTCTAGTATTCTACTGAAATAAGCTTTATATTTGAGTTTTCATTTTAGATAGCTTGGCCTAGCTTATCTACAGCAAATATAATGTTACGAAGGAAACTGGCTTTTTTTTTGCCCCTTTTTTTCAAATTTTTGGTCCTTGATAATTATATTGCTTCCAATTATTCTTTTTAATATTTTGTCTTTGTCTCTAGATGTAACTCCCTTGTTAAACTGCTTAAAACTCTGATACGTAAGGCTAAACGTTGCCAGTATCTGAGGATTTTGGACAAACACTGTTCACTGCCATACTTGGACCAAGATGCAAATGAAAGTGGCTGTTCTCTGTTTGAGGTTAGAATTCACTAGCAAGGTTCTCCATTTTATTTTATTGTTAATATGTCTAAAGTCGTTTTGAAAACTTTTATTCGCCTATACTAGAGAAGCTAGGGTCTCCTGTTCTCTCTAATATCTTGGTTCCTTTTATATCTTCTCCTTTTCAAGATATTTAATGTTAGTTGAGTTACCTCATGACGATCCTTGGTATGGGCATCATCCTTTTCATTTCATTTTAAAAAAATATGTAATCTCCATTATTGGAGCTTTTGAACTTCTTGTTCTTCTATGTCAGTAATCTGTTCATGTCAGTCCTCACACATACTATATAAGATATTTCTTTTCATTTCCTTGTCAAAAATTATATGATCTCCTTCATTGTTGGAGCTTTTGGACTTCTTGTCCTACTATTTCACTCTTCTTTAATGTAGTATCTCAATTTACTTTTGACTTTCTTTTTAACTTGAAGATGAAAACTCATAATTGAATGACTTCATACCTATTGGATTTTTGTTTAATTGAATATGTAGTATTTGGTTCATAAGCTGACTACACCAGTGTAATGCGCTTGGACTTGTTGGTCCAGGGTAATGATTCTGGGATAAGCTTTTCTACGAAGGAAAGCTACGAGGCTCAGCTTGAAAAGAAATCATGTCATGTTTCTGATACCAGAAGTTGCAAGTTGATATCAGAAGTCACTGACTATAATTTTGAGCCAAATAAGAGTTATTGTCTCAAGAAACAGGTAGTATCATTTATATGGGCAGTTTGTAGGAGCATAGTTCCTTCAGATTTGCTAGGAATGCCTTCTAATTGGAGAATTCTAAGGAAGAATATCTCAAAGTTCATTCAGCTGCGAAGATTTGAGAAGTTCTCACTCAACCAATGTATGCATAAATTGAAAACATCAAAGTTTCCTTTACTATCAAACAAGCCTTGCCAATTGACCAGTGATGTGGCAAAATACTCAGGAGGAAACTGTGGGGATATGCATAAGAAATGCAGTGAACTTAATGCCACAGATATTATTAAACATAAAATTATCGAATGCTGGATTTTTTGGTTTTTTGCTAGTCTAGTATCGCCATTAGTTCAAGCCAACTTTTACGTTACAGAAAGTGAGCATGAGAAACAAGAGGTATTTTATTATCGGAAGCCCACCTGGAAGAAACTGATGAGAGAATCAGTTACATGCATGAAGGGTAAGAACTATCGCCAATTAAATCATGCATCTGTTAGACAAATCATAAGGAAAAGATCATTTGGTTTCTCGCGGGCCAGATTTCTTCCCAAGGAACATGGGGTCAGATTGCTGGCAAATCTTAAAGCTTCATCAAGGATGCCTGTGAACCTACTCTCTTCTAGAGTTCTATCTAATGGACATTTGCAGAGGAAAGCATCTCGCGTTCCTAGAAATGTCAAATATAACTATTTCAAGTCTGTAAATAGTGTCCTTCGTGATCTGCATGTCATTCTGAAAGGTATACAGACAAAAGAACAAGAGAAGTTGGGTTCATCGGTATTTGATTATAATGATGTCTAACTATCAGTTAAAATCATGTAAATATCTACTATATCCGTCCAATGTCTGTTCAAACAGATAAAATAAATCTTTAGCACTGAAAACTATCCAAAATGAACGTTCATGGGACAAATTTTATGAATAACCATTGTTTACATGTCAAATCGATCGCACCTCGCAGCAATTAATACAGTAATTTTAAAATAAAAGCACAAAAACTTAAAAGCGGAGTAATTTGATAAAAAAAAAGTCATCAAAAATCAGAAAGTATAAATTTGCAACCTTAGTTATCAGATCCATTTAGAAAAAGGCATGCATTGTTAAACTTATACTAGAATCCTTCAATCAAAAAGATAAGATCGACTCATAAATAGAAATCATGTCACGTTACTTCACAAATTGTAACGAAAGATATTGAGAAACCGAAATTTCATCGAAATGTTATCATTTTAATTAGATTTAGCTAATTACAGTAGTAATTGTTCGAATAGAGAAAAAGCACAGCACCATTAAAACGCTCTTCAAAGAATACTTCCGCAGAAGAGATCGCGAGAAGAAAAGAGAGAGCGACGGCCAGCGCGAGATAATCAGGGATCGTCCATACTCTTCTTTGTACTGTCGCCATGGCTCTGGAGAGAGAGACAGAGTGAAGGAGCGAGCTATTTATATACGTGAATGATCCCGAGTGCATAAAATGCTCCAACCTTGCTGGGCATCACAACAGGGGCAGAATTTTTTGGTCCTTTTCTATCGTATGGGTCCCACCACATGTGAGAAAATTTCAAAGAACAGTGCTACACTCACTCACAGAGGGGGACGGGGGCGACTTGGTTAGTTGGTTTCACCGTGGTGGTTTTTTGCATTTTTTATTTTCGGTGGGCCCCACCAGGGGTTGACCAGGGGTCCTGGGGTCACCTGACCACCAACTTTTGAGAATTGTTTTTCCTTATAAAGTCGTGATTGATATCGATTAAAATTAAAATTTTAATCTATCAAAATTAACAATTAATTTTAATAACATATTTCAAATTTTAATCGATATCAAAATTAACAATTAATTTTAATAATATATTTCATATAATCCATAACTGTTTTAACTTTTATTAAAATTTACTAAAAATTTGGTTTTAATCTCCATCAAATAGGGGGCAAAATCACAATAAATTTGAATTTTTCTCTTTTTCTCTCACCTTTTAGCAAAATCTTAACTCTCCATCAAACAGAGGTGAAATATTGCATTCTTAATACCATTTCGAAGTGTTCACGGTCTAATTTTGTACGTCGTTAATGGTGTGCGAAACACCGAAACGATCAATCGTAGCAAATGCTACGACTTGTCAAAGTAAGCCTTTCAAAATTAGTATTTCGAAAATTTCGATAACATGTCAACTTTAAAAATTTTTCGACAATCGTACGCTAATCGAATCTACAAATTACTTATGTCATCTCAAAACTTATTTCGAGAACTACATTATAGGCATATCGAATAATCCAAACTGATATAAAAATAGTTAAAAATGCGTTAAATGTGAGTTTTAAAGAAATGCGTCTAACTCGCATTTTCTTGAAAAAAATTCAATTATTTCATTAACATTTATTATTTTTGCAATACAAATTTTTTAATGTAATTTTCATCATTTTATTAGGAAATTTTATACGGAATATATCATAAATTTTTTTTTCGAAATTTTACATCTGAAAAAGTCATATCCCATGTAAATTTTCGAATGCAAAATTACACGGGATATGATTTTTTTGGACATAAATTTTAGATTGTAAAATTTCTCCCAACTTCTTTGCAAGTTCGATTGTGCCCCCCTAAGTTTGAACTTTTGCGTCCGCCCCTGCTTATAGCTTATCTCAAATGATTGATGGTTTTGTTCCTAAGATGAATTGATTTGTCTCTCATCCCAAGTGATATATATGGGTTCCATAATTGGTTAATGCATCATTGTAGTTGCTGTCAATTGGCATCATGATGAATTTCAAATGTTAGGATGAAGAAAAAATGTGCAGAAGAAAGTGAGCTACAAGGGTTTATGTTTTACCCTTAATTTTTCTTTTACATAATGTACCAAATTTATATGTTCTCTGTGAGCTATTTTGAAGTGAGCAAGAAACACTACGTATTCCCACATCCGTTGACAATTTATTCATGCCCGGTGTTTCTATTATCTAGTGAGGTCACTGTTTCTGTTCTGTAACTTTTTTCAGAATTGTCATGGCTAGATGAATAGTCACTTAGCAAGATTTTTGTGATCAATGTGATTGCTAACTGCATCCTGAAACATTGTTACATGTTTTTTTCTTTTTTGGTTTGCTTTAGAAGCCACATATAATAGAAAAGTAGAGGAAGAACAAATTTATCATTAGACTGAGTGGAACTGTGAAGTAGAGAGTCCATCCAAAGTAAGTATGTACAGGTGAAGGTCCCACGTAGGTTTACTAATTCCTGTTGTAGCCTATGTTACAGCATGTATAGCGCATGCCTATAATTAAAATTCTTAATCCATTGATAGCCTTTTTTTGGGTAGCTAAATGTTGTATAATTTTTTGACCTCTGCTATCAGGTATGGAGTGGAAAAATAAGTAAGGAAAAAGTTCATTTTAATCTCAACGAGCATATAAAGCGTAATGTGCTGCAATTAGATGACAACTTTTACCAGCAATGCATTGGTATACCTCAAGGAAGTGTGTTGTCATCTCTGCTCTGCTCTTTTTACTATGGACACATGGAGAGAAATGTAATCTTTCCATTTCTTGAGAAATCTTGGGAGCCTGAGACCATGCACTTTTCAGGAAAACACGATTCTCGTGGTGCTTCAGCTTCAGCTTCAGGAAGCAAATGCGAAATAGAAATGATTGCATGTGCTTCTAAATATCTCCTGCTCAGGTTTATTGATGACTTCTTCTTTGTATCAACTTCAAAAAAGCAGTCTGCTATGTTATTCAGCCGGTTGCATAGAGGAATCCGTGAATATAACTGCTACATGAATGAGGAGAAATATGGTTTAAATTTTACTGTGAACAGTTTAGGTCCTTTAGGATTACGGTCAGACAGATTATATGTAGGTAAAGATGGCATCTCATTTCTTCGTTGGAGTGGACTGCTTGTCAATTGCTGTACATTGGAAATTCAGGCAGACTACACAAGGTTATTTTCTTCTTGTTAGTTACTTGGCAGTGGATGACTGTATTTAGTGAATGTTATTCAGGTATTGTTTGAGCCCCATCATTTTGTAAGTGTTGTGATAGAGAATGCGTGGTTAAAAAATTAGGAAAATTTTTGTGTTTGGGTGTAATATTATTTTATTGAAAAATGTGTGGTTGAAATGGGGTCGAATCACTATTCGAAAATATATTTTGATGGAAAAAATGGGGCTCAAACAAGGGCTTAATGAATCTTATCATATCTGGCATGCTGTATCATATAATCACTGAGAATTTTATAAGACCACTTGATATCATGAGTCACATTATGGTTCAATGCACTGTAGGCCATTCCATGGAGCATTTGTGTAAAAGAAAACCTTCGTTCAGATTGCACGAAATGATATATCTCTTTACAAAATTTTGTTTTTCAGGAAAATGAAGGTTTGGAACTTGTGTACGTATGGTTTGTTCTGGCAATGTCATGCTGGTACTCGTGTCTACCTATATTAATGACCAATACATGGACATGAGTATACCGTAGGATCTCTTTTGCATCATCTTTACATGCTCTGTTTATTATGATTAATGTGTTCCTCTGATTTTTGGGGACACATTTCGGGGCATTCTTGCCCATACTAGGGGTTTAGTTAAAGAACATAACGTAGCAGAAGTCTGAGTAGCATTCTTCTGCCACAGTTATTTGAATATTGACTCCAAGGATACCAGAGTTTTATTGTCACCTTTCGAATAGGTTTAAGTAGATTATCATGGGGATGAAGTAAGAACCACTGGAAAATCTATTCTTATTCACCAGCCAGTTACATCCTTTGCCTACTCGTTGGAATACAATGTAGATGTATCCTCTGATATTGACTGTATGTCTGTATCTATGTAGCAGTGGCACTTCTAGAGCAAAATCACCATGCCAGCACTCAATTTTTTGTTACTTCTTGCATCTTCTTCTTCCATTTATACTTTAAGGTGAAGCTGTATAATGGCTGCAGATTGAACCTGTAGGGATTATGGCACATCTATTGTCATATTACAGCATTTTTCTTTGCCCTACATCTGCTAGTTCACTTAAAACATGCCGTGATAATTTACTGCTTACAAATATCAGATTAGCAACTTCTATTTTCTGTTTCAAGTTTTCTGGAAATTAATTAGGAAAGGAAAACATTTTCCCTTTTTAGATGGATGTTTACACTCCTATATTTCTCTATTTCTGTACTCTGATACACTGAGCAGGTACATGAACTCCCATTTAAGTTCTTCTCTGACAGTCAGCTGGGACGGTAAAGTAGGACGTCATTTGAAGGCAAAGCTGTGTGATTATCTCCGGCCTAAATGTCATCCTATATTCTATGATTCTAACATCAATTCGGCAGCTGTGGTCCGACTCAATATTTATCAAGCCTTCTTGCTTTGTGCCATGAAGTTCCACTGCTATGTCACCAACTTGTCTCCCACGTTTAGATTCAGCCCTACATTCTTTATAAATGCTGTCGACACGTCTTTGAGGTAGCTATTTAATTTTTCCTTCTCACCTCCAGTTCATTGGGTTGTCTTTTCTATTTTTTGTTTTCTTCTGCCTCTGCCTAGTTAGAGCATACTCTTCACTCGTGATTTTTTTTTTTTTTTTTT